AGAAAAGGGAACCCTAGAACCCTGCTGGTGGGAATGCAAACTGGAGCAGCCATTATGGAAAATAGTATGGCATTTCCTCAAAAAATTACATAAGGATCTTCCATTTGACCCAGTGATCCCACTTCTAGGAATATATCCTAAGAAACCCAAAACACCAATCAGAAAGAATGCATGCACCCCTATGTTCATAGCAGCACAATTTACAATAACTAAGATCTGAAAACAGCCCAAGTGCCTGTCAGCAGGTGAGGGGGATGGGGGGGAACCTGTGGTACATTTACACCATGAATACTATGCATCTGTAAAAAAGAAGGATCTCTTACCCTTTGAGACAGCATGGAGGGACCTGGGAGTGTTATGCTAAGTGAAATAAGTCAGTCAGAGGAAGAAAACTATCACATGATCTCACTCATATGTGGAATCTAATGAAGAAAATAAACTGATGAAAAAAAATAGGCAGTCAATGGGGTAAAAAAAAAAACCAATGGGGATATCTGTAATACTTTAAACAATAAAGATACATTTTTCAAAAACAAAAACAAAATAGATCCAGATATATAGATGTAACAGACTGATGAATCTCAGAAGGAAGGCAAAGTGGGTGGGTGGGGAGAGATTGACCAAAGAATTTATATTCATATATGCATAGCGTATAGACACAGACAGTAGTGTGGTGAAGGCCTGAGGAGGGTGTTGAGGAAGGGGTCAATTGGGGGTAGAGGGTGGACATCTGTAATACTTTCAATAACAATAAATTTTTTAAATGAAGAAAGAAAATACACAAACTGGGCCTTGGTTCCCACCTTGTCCTCATCATCAACAACATGAAGTGGCAGAAGTTGTAAGTGGATGGTCTCTCTTGGCCACAGACGACCACATGAAATATCAGGGGCCTCAGAAAATGTCTATACATGTGATCCCTGGAGTAATTCAGGCCAAATCTGGTGGGGGGGGGGGGGGGGGTAAGCATAGGAATGTCTGGGACTGAAGGCTGGGGTAGCCAGATCTGGGCAGAAATGGCTCAGGCTGGATGAAGGTATCCTAGGGGCCTCAGCACCTGATCTCCTGTGCAGCCTATGGAGAGGGCTGTCTGAGTCTCAGGTACCATGAACAGGCTACTCCAAGGGAGAAGAGCCTGTACAAAGCCTGAATGTCTCTGTTCTCCAACAGGCTGAGATTGAATCACAGGAATTTACAACACAGCCCCAAGTGAGAGATACGATTCTGCTTCAAGCCCTGCTGGCAGCGATTGCCACCTTTCGGCCCCCATTGACACTGATTGCTGAAGCTGTTTCCTTCCAAGAAAAAAAATTCTCCATAACAGGAAGCACTGGAAATGGCTTCCAGGCCCAAGGGCCAGCTCATCGCCCCATACCTGTCCCAATCTGGACCCTTCTCCTATCCTCACAGCCTACACCTCCCCATGACCCTCCTAGCTCCCCACATCCCCAAGGAGGAGACTACCTGAGAGGCCCAGCTCCCTGGCCAGAGCTCAGCCCTCCCAAATCTGCCACTTGCTCACCCCTTCCTGTTGTCTTTCGGAACGATCTATTTCAGGGTAAGCCAAGACTAGACATGCCAAATTCCAGGACAAAAATGGATCTCTGAGGTAATCTGGAAAACACGCACATAGTTTTTTCACAGAGAGAAGCCTTGCTCAAAGTCACACAGCAGCGCATTGATGTGGCTGAGATCTGACTTCATAAGACCTCTGGACCAGTCATTTCATAGCTAACTGTCATATCCATGGGAATAATATTCATCTCCAATACAGGATCCTCTCCAGAGAATGGATGGACCTGGGTTTGAATCCCTGCTCAACCACTTTGTATCTGAGTTAAAACCTCTCTGCCTATTTCCTTACCCAAAAATTGGAGCTCAAAAACTAAACTAACTTCCTGTGGTTGTTATGAGGCTCAAGTGATATAATGCAGTAAAGTCTAGGAACAGAGCTAGATCCCTGGCTGGTATTCCCTGCATAGTAAAGATGGTCCTTCATCATACCTAATACCTCAAGGGGCACCACTGCCTGATTTGCTTAGGGGAAGAGGGCAATTCAGAGCAGGTGGAGCAGGAAGAACAAGGAGAGAGTATGTGTAGGACTGCAGGGCCAGAGTAAAGTCACTTCCTACTGGAGGAAACCCTGGAAGACTCCCTGGAGGAGGTGGCTTCATGCAGAGTTGCACTTCTCTTGCTCTGAGCTCCTTTGGGTCTTCCTGAGGACCACATAGCTGAAGGAAAGCACCTTACCCTGAAAGCCAATCCCAGTTCAAGCTTCCACCCTGAGTGACCTGAGGGTAAGTCCTTCCCCTCTCTGGGTATCTGCAAAACAGACCAGAGAGACCAGACAACATTCCCTTAGAGGTGTCTTCCAGCTGTGACCCTTTTGCAATCTTGTCCATACCCATCTCCTGCAGTACCCAAATATTGCCACTGGGAGGCATCAAGGAGTTGAGCTAGAGTCCCCCTCCTTCCAGCTAGAGACTGGGGCTGCCACTGGATAGTCAGGCCCCAACACTGCCTGTTCTTGATTCCCCGCACCCCTCAGTATGCTCTCCAAGGAGCCAGAGCTGGTGGACACCCACATCCAGACATTTGATCCTTCCCACAGGCTTGCAGAGCAGCCAGCATTCTCTTCACTTTTCAGATAGGGAAAATGAGACAGAAAGAAGGGGGATTTGTTCAAGGTCACACACTAGAAATGGCAGAACCAAGTCTCCAGTCCTAGCACCTAGAGGAGACAATGTGAAAAGAAGATTGAAGTCAGATACATTTGGGCTGGAACCCTGGTGCCCCTCCTCCTGGCAGATCACCCACCCCCTCTGACTCTCAGCTATGTAAGTGCCTGGCACATGACAAGTGCTGAACACACAAAGGCACCACTTTTTTCTAGTAAATTTTACAGGCTACAAGAACAGATACTTGTCTATCTTACTCACTTTGGCATCCCTCTCCCTCGTGGGCCGTGCCTGGAATTCAGAATACGGGTCTCCCTCCTCAAACCTTTTCTACAATCCCAGATCAACTTTCGTTTGTCTTTTTCCCCTAGCAGCCCTGCCTGGCTCCCACACCCACCCAGGCCCTGCCCACATTTGTCCCATGTCTCAGATCCCTTTTTTCATCCCTGACTCTCTCTCAGTTCCTCTCCCCTTCTGAGCCCACTCTACTACATGCTGTTTTTACAATGATGATAGTTTTTTACTTCTGATTATCTCCCTTTCTCCCCTGAAGGGTAACATGTTTCCACTCTCCTAGGGAAAAATGCACTCTGGAGAAGAAGAGCAAACTAAAGACAGTGAGACTGTAGGTGCTCCCAGCCACACCACCCACAGGCCACACAGGCCTCCTCTTATAATGGCCTCCAAGAACAGCTCTGTTGATCAAGGTGGACCTCTGGGAGAAACCAAGATGGCAGCCTAGGTAAACACCTAAACTGCTGCCTCACACAACAATTTCAATTTAAATCCTACAACTAAAATACAGAACTGATATCATCCAGAACCACAGGAAAGCTGGCTGAGTGGAAATTCTACTACTAGAAGGAAAGAAAAGAGCTCACAGAAAATCAGAGGAGCTGCAAAGGACTGAGGTAGGGAGACATGTGTGCAGAGAGGAAGGGCAGCTGAGTGCCTGGCTGATGTTCTCTGGAGGGAGAGGGAAGGAAGCCCCCGACTGCACTGAACCCCAGTTACAGGCGAAACCCCACGGACCCAGTCTCATACGGGAGGAGTCTGACTGTCAGGTAGGAGACTCGGAAACTCAGGGAAACGGCAGCGGGCAGGGGTCTGGATACACGCGCACAGAGAAGACTGCTGAGGTTGCCACTGGCTCTCCCTAGCGGAAGGGAGGCGAAAGCTCCTGACTGCACTGAGCCCCAGCTCCAGGCAAGCCTGGGGGAATCTATCCAACACTTCAGCCCAAATATCACTAATTTTTATAGCATTCGTAATCAATGGTGTTGTTGGCAAAATGGCATCTTTCTAACTTGCTGCAGGACCAATGGGTCCCCAAGCTCACTCGCTCCCAATCCAGGCTGCGCAGCCCAGGCTTGTTGAGGAGTGTGGGAGAAAGGACAGCCACAATACCCCTTGGTAGGTGGGACTTCAGGCCCAGAGTCAGTTATGACCTATGGGTTTTTCAACAATTCCCTTTTAATAATATTCAGGGGTGTGTGTGTGTGTGTAGTTTTAATACTCCAAAGCTATTCTCTGCTCCTTTCTGGCCAAAATTGTTCAATTGAATTTTCTTTTTTTAATTTATATTTATTTCAAAGAGAAAAGGAGATAGAGAGATAGAAACATTAATGATGAAAGAGAATCACTGATCGGCTGCCTCCTGCATACCCCTACTGGGGATCGAGCCTGAAACCTGAGCATGTGTTCTTGACTGAAATGATCGGGACCCTTCAGTCTGTAGGCCAACACTCTATCCACTGAACCAAAGCAGCTAGGGCTAATTTTTATTTTCAATTAAATCCTAACTATCGATATTTCTCAGATTCATAAAGATGAGCCAGCAGACACATCAGAATATTGAGTGGTCCCTTCTCCTGCCTCTCAGCTCTTGGGATAGTGGATGCAGAAGAATGTGCCTCTCCTTGAGCCATGGGGTCTGGAAGACATTTTGCCTCCTCTCCTCTTCCCCAGTCCCTCTCCCTCCATAACCCACTGGCCCCAAGCTGCAGAGCAGGGATAGAAGTCCCCCTCACACCTCCTGTGTCCAGGGAGCAGGGCAAGTCCGAATGGGAGATCCAGACACTAAGAATTAAGGAAGGACAAATACCAGCCCCAGAGACCCCAGCCTTCCCGGAGCTGGCACCTGGCTGCCAAAAGCCAAGTCAGAACGAGTGGGGGCAGTGGCCAAGGACTGGACTCGGGAGCGAAGCAACACCACCCCTTCCTGGCTGGTGTGCAGCCCCTCCTCTAACCAGCACTGCAAGGCTCAGCTTTTAGGCTGGGGTCATAAAGTGACTTTCCAGAGACAGCATGTGACATTCAGCCCCTTGCCTCCTCCCGAGTCTGACTGTAGCCTTCAGGCTCTGCCCATCCTGCTCATCTTCTCTCTCTGCCCAAAGAATTCTGAAAATACTACATCTTGCCTACCTCACAGTGGACAAAGCCTGAGTCCACTGCAAGCTGGCCATCATCTGGTCCCATTACCAGCCAGCCTCCTGCAGCCCGGGCTTGTGCCCTCTGAGCCTCCCCAGCTCCCTGCCCTGCATCCTTTGGTCCCATCTACTGGCCTTTGCTCTTATCTTTACCACCACCAGGAATATCCTTCCTTCTGTACACTGTCTCTGCTTGTCCTGAATCCCTCCCCCAGGAAAACTCACCTCTCCCCCTTTCCCAACCAGAGTGACCCCTCCATCCTCTATCCGCAACCATTTTTCCTTCTCCCCTCTAAGGTGCTGAGCACTGTCAGGATTCAGAGTCACACAGCTCTGGACCTAGAGGAAACTTGAACATCCTCCAGGTCTCTCTCCCCCCCACCCTCTCGCCACCAGTCCTTATTGCACAAGGCCCAGAGATGGGCGGAAGCTGCATAAGATCACACAGCACATTAGTGGCAGAGTTAGAACTAGAACTCAGCCCTCTGGAACCTCTACCCATGGCTTCTTGAGAACATGCGGCCTCCCCTGATGAGCCAGAACAGGACTTCTCCCAGACATTGACCTGTAATGCCTCCCAGTGTCCCCACCCCTCATCCAGGGCAGGGCCCAAAGGAAGCAGTCATGAACATTTACAAAATGAAGAAATAAAAAAATAAAAATATTTAATACTTTCTGTGTGCTAAACACATCAGGCTTCAGTTCTGCTACTCAAAACCTTGGTAAGTTGCTCATTTTTGTATAGAAAATATCTTCTGTGGGGAGGAGTGAGTGAGTACACCAGGAGGGCCCTCAGTTGTGAATGTCAATGACCAGTGGGCAGAGGTGGGGTGAGTGTTTGACACCCATGGTGAAAGAAGGTGTGCGGGGCTTGTGCACTGTGACCATCTGGACATCATGGGAACCCGGTCCAGGCTGAGGTGTGTGGCCCATTGGGTAGGCAAAACGCTTGGCCATGCTGTAGACGGGGCTGCGGTTCTGGTAGACAGATGGCTCAGGGCGGGCGTGCACGGCGGGCCCAGGACCTCCTGCCGCGTTCTTCTTGGAGAACCGGATGTTGTGTGCGGAGGCCAAGCTATAGCAAGGAGCAGCTCGGTTGATGGGGAGGTTGGGCCCCAGCAAGAGTGGCAGTTGGTAGTGGTTGGGGGCCGGGTTGGGGTCCATTACTCTGTATGGGCACCGGGAGCCGAAAGTGTACTGTGGGGCCCTGCGTTCTCCAGGAGGGCGGGTCTTCTCCACGCAGTAGTGGCAGGAGGCTGGGGTGGAGCTCAGGCCTGAAAGTGGGCAAAGGTGGCGACCTGAGGCATTGATTAGCCTGATGTGACTTCACTAGAGCCACATTCGCTTTGGACAGGGAGACATCCAACCCTACACGGAGCTGTGGGCAGGTGAGGGACTTAGGCTATCCTGACATTAGAATATGACACTATTGTCATAATATAAAGACCACACCCTCGTCAGTTGCTTAGTGGTTAGAGCATTGATTGAAGGGTCTCAGGTTTGATTCTGGTCCAGGGCACACATGCGATTACAGGCTTCATCCCCAGCCCTAGTCAGGGTGCGTGCGGGAGGCAACTAACAATGTGTCTCTCATATCGATGTTTCTGTGTCTCTTCTTCTCCCTTCGAATTTCTCTAAAAATCAAGAGAGAGAAAAAAATATTCCTGAGTGAGGATTAATAAAAAGAAAAAGACATAAGTGTCATCAGTATGACACCTTGGGCTGTCAGCATTCTGACATTGTCCCCATGGCAAAACCAAGAAAACATCCTGAAATCACTATGAGCTTATTAGCATAGCGATATTGCTGCCCCTATATGAGCCCCACTTATAACAATCACCCCTGACACATATGCATAATGTTGTCTTCAATAAGTAAGTACTGTGACACAGATATGGTGACATCTGTGTCTTGATGTGACATTGCAGGGAGATACCAGCATCCACAGACACACCTGGAGGGGAGTCATGATCCTCTGCCCCCACTCAGGTCCTAAGGGTAGACCTCCATTCTTCAACCTCCCAACCCCACTCCCCATTCCATCTTACACAGGTTAGGGATGCGTTCCTCCATGGAGATCTGCTGGCAGCTGGACAGCCCAACCCGAGTTATTTTAGGGTTCAATAAGTAGCAAGGCCCAGGGCTGCATATGTCCATTATCCCTGCAAGGCAGACACAGACCTCAGTCAGTTCTAGAGTCTGTCCCAGGGGAGACCCTCTTCCCCAAGAAAGGAGGGAAGGGTTTCTTCTCAATTCCTCAGGCTCTTGGGTGTTTTTGGGAACCCTGAGAATTTGACTCACCTGTAAAATGGGGCTTTTCATTCTCAAGAACTTGTCCAGAGGGACAGCTGCATAGCAGCTTAGTCCACTGGTCAGTGATTGGTGCCAAGGGGTCATAATAGGCATGGTGGCTATTGTTAGTTTTAAAAAGGGACTCAAAATAAATAAGCTTATGAACAAAATAGGTCCATAGGCATAGATGCAAGGAACAGACTTGAGAGACCTGAGGGAGGAGGAGGAAGGGGAAAAGGGAAGAAATTAGCTGAAGGACATATATGCATAGCCCATGGACACAGGCAAAATGTAGTGAAGGCCTGGGGAGGGATGACGACTGGGTGCAGGGGGGAAAGGAGGATGGGGAATACTGTAAATAATAAAAAGGGGCCAGGCCCGGAGCAGCAGCAGCCAGGCCAGGAGCGGCTGGGCCCAGAGCAGCCGAGCCCAGAGCAGCCAGGCCCAGAGCAGCAGCAACCAAGCCCGGAGCAGCCAGGTCGGAAGCGGCCAGGCCTGGAGCAGCTGGGCCCAGAGCAGCTGGGTTGGGAGCAGCCACATCCAGGCCGGGAGCAGCCAGGCCCAGAGCAGCAGCAGCCAGGCCGGGAGTGGCAGTGGCCAGACCGGGAGCAGCTGGTTGTGGAGTGGACCAGAGCAACAGAGGCCAGGCCCGAACCAGCAGGCCCAAAACAGCTCGCTCCTCGCCTGCCCACGCCCCAGGGCTGCCTCTCAGACATGGCTGGAAACTTTTGGGGAAACTTGAGGGTCTGCTGAATCAAGTGATGAAGGCTTAAATCTGGAAGTGTTGAGTTAGTATAGCGCTGGGGTGTTGATCTGTGAGTGCCTTGTGTGGGGTCTGGATGAGGTTGGTTGATCTATTTGGAAATATCTTTTGTGTGAAGTGTATTCTTGGGCATGTGGAGGTATTATTGATTTGAGAAAATGCTAAGTAACTGATGTACTATCTGAAAAATTTAAAGTTCTGAAAGTTTAAGGTCTCTTGCCAAAAAGAGGTTTTAAAGCTAACCCCTTAATTTTAATGGAGAAAGGGGAGGACAAGCCCTTCCCACCCAGAACAGGTAATCCAATTCCAACCAGCAGCTATCTTTAAACAATGTGTTCATTTACATTTGAATGGCTACACCTTTTGATAGCCTAAGGGCAAGTTTACATGTAAACAAGTTTGCTTCTCAATTCCCAGGGCAGAAAAAACAAGGTTTAAAATTATTAGATTTTAAAATTTATTCTTAGAAGTATAAAAGTTTATTAATTAAAATAACAACAATAACAACAACAACAACAACAAAAAGGAGATTGAAAAACCTGATGAACAATATTAGCTGTTGATTGTAGTAGAGTCGGCGATATGGGAGGGGAGTGGACTGACTGTTCTCAGGGAAAGGGGGAGTGGTGGATGCGGGAAGAGACTGAACATAAACTGTGCACCTATGGATGAGGACGATGGGGGGTGGGGAGGGGGCAGAGGGTGGGGTGGGAACCTGGTGGAGGGGGGAAGAAATGAAGAACCTTTGTAATAATATGAACAATAAAGATTGATTTTAAAAAAAACAAAAAACAAAAAACACACACAATAACAATTAGTGAGGATGTAGAGAAATTGGAACCCTGTAATGTGGCTAGTGGGGATGTAAAATGGGACAAGCTGCCATAACCGGTTTGGTTCAGTGGATAAAGCCTCAGCCTGCGGACTTAAGGGTCCCAGGTTTGAATCCAGTCAAGGGCAGGTACTTCGGTTGCACGCACATCACCAATGGAGGGATGTGCAGTGGGTAGCTGATTGATGTTTCTCTCTCATCTATGTTTCTAACTCTCTCTCACTCTCCCTTTCTCTCTGGAAAAAAAATCAAATAAAAAAATGGGACAGCTATTGTGAAAAAAATAAAATAAAAATAATAATAATAATAAAAAGGGGGCCCAGCTTCAGCCATTGGGGGTACCCTGCTGAAAAGAGCTGGTACTGCTGGCCAAGGAAGGGGTCTGGAAGGCACCATAGATCTCAGACCCCCAGATACATACTCCTGCCCAAGGCCAGTAGCTCCAGCTCTTTTGTGATCCAGTGCTCCTACCCCTTCATGGGGTTCCAAGCCACCTGGATAGCCTTGGGGGCCACCATCCTCACCACTTTCCCCCAATCTCCAGCTATTCCTGCCCAGCTGCTGTGGCAAGTGAATCCGTAAAAGCCAGACAGAAAGGCGACTCTGCTCTGCCAGCTGGACAGTGACAACATCCCTCTAAAGTAGGGGTGTCGAACTCAATCAGAGAAGGGGCCAAAATCTAAAATCCAGCCTAAATCGCGGGCCGAATGGTTTACTGAACAGTCATAAACTGTCATTGTGATGGAAACGCAGCGGAGTGCAGTGATGATAGCGCGGTGCGGGCCACATTGCAAGGCCTGGAGGGAAGGATTTGGCCCGCGGGCCTTGTGTTTGACACATGTGCTCTAAAGCTCCCTCAGGAGGTCCAGTTGGAAGGTGCCCACAGAGTTGCCTTCAGAGGGGTAGGTCATTTGGGCATCACTGCTGACATCCATCTGGACCTAACAGATAACCTTGGTGTCCAGTTCAGGGCGGGCCTGTGTTCCCAGGGGCCTGGGGCTACAGATAATGGCTCTTTTCCTCTCATTGCCACCCCAAACATCTAACAATAACCCTACACCCAAGGTGTGGGGGGACACTCACGTTTTGCTGAGTGCTGAGTGTGCAGAGTGCAGGCTGGCTCCTGGAACATGGAGCTGTCGTGGCCTAGGTAGCCTGTACAGGATGGCCGCAAGTACTTGGCAGGCCCCGGACCTGCGAGAACAGACAGCAAGGCTCACTCTGGGTCCACCAGATCAGAGGCAGGAAGCTCCAAGTACAGTGCTCCGTGAGAACATCAGGGTCTTTGTTCCCTGATGTCCACGACCTCAAATTCCACCATCAAGTCGCTTCCTTGCCTGAAAGGCAGTGTTCCCAGGTAAATGTAATTTCCCTTGGATAGGTAATAGTTACAACTAACTTATACTGTGGCAAGTAATACACTAAGCATTTTATGTGAATTGTTTCAGTTAAGCCTCCCAACAACTCTGTAAGATAGATACTATCGTATTTCCCATTTTACAGATGAGAAGACTGAGGCTTAAGAATATCAATTTGCCCAAAGTCACACAAGCTGGTAATGTGAAAATTCTGAGACAATCAGCTCAAACATTTAACCATCACTAAACCACCTCCCAAACTGAGCAATAATCAGTTATTAACAATGTAGTAAAAAGTAATATTTCTGCTTTCATTTGAGATTAAGATTCAAGGGAAGGGGGGAGCTAAAGCGGGGTTAAAGGCTCCAATAAATCCATAGCCTTTCATTAAAGCTGGCTTCACTCCATATCACAGCCTCCCTTTCTTTCCTACCTACCTCCCCCCTGAAAATTCCCAGCAGTAGAATCACTGCCTGCACGAATCAGCTTGGAGGCACACATCTTCTGTGGACTTTAAAGAAAGTCTGCAAGAGAAAGAAATGGGCCCGAGTTCAGGGCAGGGTCTGGGGGTTCTGCTCTCACCTTTGATCATCGCCATGACCACAGGGGTCTGCTTCACCTCTTGCCAAGAGGGCACCGGCACCTTCTCCTCTGGGCGCTGCCCGTAGAACACAAAGTTCCCGGGCCCCTTGCGCTGCTTCATGGCTGGAACCAAGGACGGGACAGTAGCAGCTACAGAGACATCTAAGTGGCAGGCAAGGAGCTAGGCTGGTGTGGGGCTTATTTCAGGTTCCCCTGCCCAAGCTCCTGCGTCCACTCTTGCCCACTCCAGAGGTGTCGTGGGGCTGAGAAGGAAGACAATCTCCGGCTTGAGCAGCTGAGACAGTCTAGGGCGCAGCAAGCCACAGGGCCCAGGAGACAGGACCTGGAGATGACATCACTACAGAACCTAGACTGTGAAGCGCAGTGTTTATTTCTGTCAGTTGCCATGGTGCCTGAACTGTGGCATAGAAATTCTATGCTAGCAGCTGAGTCATAGAACCCTGAGATTCGACCCAACCAAGCTATATTGCCTGAAGGGTCCCCAGGACACTGGGTCAGAGAAGGAAAACAGAGAGGTGGAGTGACAGAGCCAGATCTTCACTCCTCGTGGGTGCCCTAGGGGTGGGAAAAGGAATAGAAAGACTAGGTAGGTGATGGGCCAAGAGTTCCTGGAGCCTGCATAGCTCCCTATGGTGGCCCTTTACCTCCTGCCCCTACTACCTGTCCCCCAAGGTTCCCACCATGCCCTCCCTTCTACCAAACCCTGTTTTTCCTTGGGAAAGGATCAAGCCAATTATTTCACACTAAGGTCCAATAGTTTCCCTGATTTTATCCCCAGGCCAGCATCTGTAGAAATCTATGTCTAACTCAAGGAATACTTGCCTGCTGCTGGCATTTCAGGCAGGGAATGAGAAACAAATAAAGGAGGATGGAGGGGTAGTGCTGATGCCTTAAGAAGCCACTTCCTGTCCCTGTAGTCAGGAGCACCCCAGGGTGGAGGGGAGCATGAGAGGAAACATACGATTGATGTCTGAGCCCCTGGGCAAAGGAAATGCTGGAGATCTCTTCACCCTTAAAATCCCGAGTTTTGGGGGGCTCCGGGTCAGCTTATACCAACCAGTTTCTTAGCTCAGATGGGATTTGGTGGAAATCAAGTAAGAGGGGTTTCTATTCTGAGAACAAATGACAACTGGCTTTAGAGAGGGTATCTGTCACAACACCAGTACATAGATATGGAAACTGAAACCCCAAAAAGAGAAGGACTTGCCCAAATTTTCTCCTCACATCAGTAGCAGAAACAGACCCTGGACAAAACTCCAGGGCTCTCTTTGGATCATAGCGTCTGATCTAATGGAAATCAAAATATGCTGAGCCTTATTCCCACCAGCAGGCACAGGGAAGACATGGAGTGGACCAGCCATACATGCTGGCATTCTAAAATCCCCTTGTCAGACCAGAAGGCTCAGAGCAGATGGCAAGGTCCCACCCAACAGCAGCAGAGCTGCCCGTGCCCTCACATCACCTATGGAGTAGCCAGGCCTCTGATTTCTGGAGAGGTGAGGCTTGGCAAAGTGGGGATTGGCCCTACTTCAGTTCGTCCGGGGCCATGGGCAGTGCCGCCTCCACACCCCATCCTCGTCAGCTTTTCCTGGAGGAAGCTGTGAGCTTACTGGGCTAGAGCCTGATGGTCTCATGCCAATAGGGGCCAGATGTGGGGCCGGGAGCTCCACCTTCTTGGGCTTGGTGGGGAGGGAAGACTGGGAGGAGTTTCCTGGTATTTAAACCCAGGGAGCCTTCCTTCCCTCCCCCCCACCTCCCACCCCTGCATTGCTCCTGGCTGTCATCCTTATGCACAGCTCTCTTGGAAAAACTGAACCACTCTACACCCCTGCGTCTGCTCTGAATGCAGAAGCTCCCTTCCCTCCAGCTTTCACAGAGACTAGCTAACCCCTGGAGACAGACCTCTGTCCTCTCCAAAGCTTCTGTTCTGTCTCTCATACACCTGCCCCTGAGAGCCCCAGGTAGAGGGTGCCTTGTCTCCTCAGTACCCACCAGGCAGTGTCTACTCCCTGTCAAAAAAGGAGCTGAAAACTCATGGCTCTTGAACACTAGCTTTGCCTTCATGTCATCCCCTCCCATCTCCACTCTGGTCAGCTTGCTGTCTCCCTTTCCCAGAGATAATTTCAAGCATGGTTCATTCCCCTCTCCATGCCTGGCCCTCCCTCCAGCCCTGCTCCACCTCCTTCTCAGCTAAGAAAAGTGAGGGGTCTCCCTGCCATACCATCAGAACCATCCTGCTTCCACCAACACCTGCTCTCACTTCCCTCTGGGGTGGGGAAGGACCCTCTAAGACTTTTCTCATCTCATCTGCCTCTTCAAGAACATTTTGCTCTCCATGGTTCCATTCTTTGTTTTTACCTCTCATCTGGCCCCTTCCTAGCTCACTCTACATATCCTACATTCTTCCATCTATTACAGACCATGCCCCTGGCCCCGCACACACCTCTCCATCACTACCTGGATCCCTCCAGTCCACAGCATTTCCCTGTTGTCTGTTCTCACATCCCTTTCATGCTTCGGCTCTCCACAGGCTGGCTTCAAGCCCATCACTCAACCTCAACTATGATCTGCATGTGGAAGTTGCAACCAGTGGACACTTTCACCCTCACCCAATTAACCTCTCAGCTGTCCTGGACCAAACTGACTGACCATTCTCCCCTCCTTGTAGCACTCCTCCTGGTTCTAAGATTTCTGGTCTTCCTTCCATGTCCCTGTATGCTTTCACAAGCTTCCTGGTCCTTCTTCCTCAACCAACCTTTCAGTGTTGGCACATGCTTATTAATTACAAAGGGAAAACAGTAGCTTTACAGAGAGAATCCTGGCAGGTTGCACATCAACCAAGTAATGTAAGTTAACATCATCCACAATGGGACAGAGAGGTATTGTGTGCCTCCAGAAAGGATGCACTGAGAAGGACGCAGCACCTCTTCTGGGCTGTTCCACCAAAGTTACATAACCTGAACCTAATTATGAAGAAACCAGATAAACTCAAGTCAAGAGTCACTTTACAAAATAATATTTCTGAAATGTCATGAAAGACAAAAAAAAACTCTGAAGAACTTTTCCAGATTAATAAAAACTCCAGAGATATAATAATTAAGTACAACATAGGAGCCAGAATTTTCCTTTTGTGGACAAAAGAGACCACATGCTAACCTGACAAGCTCAGGGAAGGCCTGCATGGCAGTCTTGCAAACTCAAGGACCTAAAGTAACCATAAAGGATGGTCTAAAATTAAACTTTAACTAAAAGCAGTTATGGTGGGTAGTCACCTCCTAGGCCAGTATCTTCACTGACAAGATCAACCTTTACCTTATTTGAGCCTATCTGTCTTTTTGCATCTATAATAACACTAGAGGTCTGATGTGTGAAATTTGTGCATATGGGAGGGGAGTCCCTCAGCCTGGCCTGCGCCCTCTCACAGTCCAGAAGCCCTGTGGGGGGATGTCCGACTGATGGCTTAGTGCAGCGTTTTTCAACCGCTGTTCCGGGCACACTAGTGTGCCGCGAGATGTTTCCTGGTGTGCCGTAGGTGCAGACAAGACAAGAATTTTATAATTTTTCACTATTTTGTTTACTTAATATTTCATAATAAAGTAATTATAAAATACTTTCTTTGTGTTTATTTGATTCCTATTCAAGAGAATTACTTTATATATAGTCAATAGAGGCACAGAGTTAAATTTTTTAACATTTTCTAATGGTGGTGTGCCTCGTGATTTTTTTCATGAAACAAGTGTGCCTTTGCCCAAAAAAGGTTGAAAAACACTGGCTTAGTGGACCTAAGCCATTAGTCGGACATCCTTAGCATTGCCAAGGAGGCAGGAGAGGGTCCCACCACAGCTGCTGTGCTCTCCAGAGGTGAGCCCGGCTTCTGGCTGAGTGGCACTCCCCCTGTGAGAGCACACTGACCACTAGGGGGTGGTGGTCAGCACACATTATAGTGACCAGTCATTCCACCATTTGGTCATTTGCATGTTAGCCTTTTAATATATAGGATATGCTGTAGATGAGGCCCCCCCTGGAGCATAAGAAATGTAAAAAAAATTCACTGTTAACTCATTCTCGAATTGCCCCCACTTAAATCAAATTGACCCTCCTGTGGGGCATGTTGTGCACCTTGGGAACCACTGGGCTTGACACTTTTCCTCTCTGAGCTTCATTTCTGAATACATACGCATATACCACAGGAATTGTATTCTCTTCTCTTCCTACCTCATTGGGTTGTCATGAGGAGGTTCTGAGCTAATATATCTAGAAATGTTTCATCAAGTAAGTGATGTCTAAACAGGAAGGGATTGTTAATTTTGAGCTCACGGGTACCCTCGCAGGTAGCAGGTGCTGGTTAGGGGAGGAGGGCGTGATTGTTTCCTGGGACTGTAGCTGTGGAAGCTTTGCAGAGGGTTCCACAGGCCTTGGAGAGGCGGGCTCTGGCCAGCAGTTCTGTAGGTTGTCCCTGGAGGCTCTGGTTGGGGGCGGGAAGTTAAGGGGGGGCAGCACGGCCAAAGGGGGAGTAACTGTCAAACCTTCCCGCTTGGCGCCATTCTTTAAATTGTACCTGGCTGTTTCACAGCCTTACCTGCTCAGGGCCAGGGCTGGGATCCAATTTCCTGGACCTGGTGGGGGCCAGGCCAGGGCTGAGCCATGCAGGCTAAGAGGGCGGGTTTAGCCACACCCCATGATTCCACTGCAGAGTCGGCCTGCCTCCACCCAGGTCTGGAGTTGTAGGGAGGAGAGGCATACCTGGCCCTAGCAGAGGGGGCCCTGCAGCAACAGACTGGCCGCAGGCTCCGGGGGCCCGCTAACAGGTGTGCCAGAAACAAATCAGTTTGACTAAAAGAGAGATGTTGACAGGAAGCCAGGAAGGCTGGTCAACAACCTTAACTGCTCTAACCACTAAGTTGAGACATTGTTAGCTGAAGCAGCCTCCACCTTGTTTGTCCCATGTAAGTTTCTGTTACTTCCTGCCTAAGATGTTTCCCCCAAAGCCTCAATAAAAGGATGGCAGGGCCAGAGCAGGAGTAGTTCTCCCACTAGAGTTGGACTACCACCTGGCCCCCTATATCACCAAATTGAATTTCTTCAAGTCTCTTCATTTGTGTGCGGCCCTTCTCCAGAACCCGAACCCTGAATTGGAACTCTTTCCACGCGGGACGTCACCATACAGGTGGTCACCGGCATGCTATTGTTGTGGGCGCCCCTGGTGGGGTTTGAGGGGGAGATATCGGGAGTCAGAGGTGCGGGCTGCAGCTACTCCCAAGGCTGAGTCTTCTCCCCATCCAGTCAACCTCCCGTCCCCCCAGGGGTGCTGGGGCTGGGGTAGGGTGTCTGTGCCCGGAGATTGGAAGAGCTCCCCGTGGCCCCTTCCTCTTCCTTCTTTGCAGTCTGGGCTCTTGTTCAGGCAGTCTCCTCAGACCCCTGGGAACTTTGACCAACAGCCCCCTTTCTGTGCGTGCATCAATATATAAATTGGTCTGGGACACTACAACAGACAATTAGCATATTACCTCTTTATATGTATAGATAGCCTTGAAATGTCTGGGTAATTTGTAACTTCCCTTTTTCTGGGACCCTTGGACACAACCTAATGTGCCTGGGTGCCAGGTCAGATCCCACAAATTCCTTCATTATTATAATGTTA